GTGTGTGTGTGTGTATATATATGTGTATATATATATATATATATATATATATATATAGTAGAATTTCTTTAGTTCTTCGACACATGAAATGTAAATTTTCATGATAAATGGAGACCATTAATTTTCTTATGTCATTGTTTTGCTTAGTTACCTGTGAAAGACCGTATCAATACTGAAGTGTAATTAAATGAAAGCTGTTGAAGGAAAGAATAAACACAAGACAGTGATTACTCTTTTCCTCCAAAAATAGTGAGGTGTAATTAAATGGAAGCTGTTGAAAGAGGTAATGAACACAAGACAGTGATTACTCTTTTCTCCCAAAATACTGAGGTGTAATTAAATGGAAGCTGTTGAAAGAAGGAATAAACACAAGACAGTGATTACTCTTTTCTCCCAAAATACTGAAGTGTAATTAAATGGAAGCTATTGAAAGAAGGAATAAACACAAGACAGTGATTACTCTTTTCCCCAAAAATGTTTTTTCAAGAATTGAGTTAACAGATTTCAAAGTTTGTATAATTTTAATAGTTTATACATTTGTAACATAAATATGCCTTCATGAATCATGGATTCCATATTTATCCTTTTAGTCTGCCTGGATATCTTTCCTACCCATGATTTTTTTATTCTGTTTTCTCTTTCATCCTTCAGGACTAATTGTGTCCACACCAACTGGCAGCACAGCCTATGCTGTGGCTGCTGGGGCATCTATGATCCACCCCAGTGTACCAGCTATCATGGTTACTCCCATCTGTCCACATTCACTTTCCTTTAGGCCTATTGTTGTTCCTGCTGGAGTCGAACTCAAGGTATGGCTACATTAATTTGTATGTAATATGAAAGGGTTAGCTTGTTTGCCCTTGCTGTTAGGTTTAATTTGTGAAGAGGCTAGCATTTTAATTCTATATCCTGGTCTATCTGCTCTAACTATTCATTATATAAAAATATTTGACTGAGTAATTTCATTTTTAAAAATTTGATATCAAATATGGATAATCTAAAATAACGTTTTGGCATGATTGAATATTTTGTATACATTTTTATGTATTTCTTATATCTTAGTGTATTATGTTATGAGGTAAAACTTATTTCTTCAGTTTGCATTTATATTGAATTTGAATGTTATAGAAAGATACTATGTAACCTCAGACACACTAAACAATATGTTATCATACAAAAATGTATGTTTATTCAAAACGTTGCATGTCTAGTCATCTGATTTGTCGTTAATTATAGAAAGAGCAAAATTAAAACTAACATTAAATTGAAAGATTGTAAAGTACTACAGCTCCTTAAAAAAATTAAAAGTAAATCTTATCTGTTGCAAATTCTTCAAATGATACCATATATCATGATCTCACCTGAAGTAAAGAGCTCAACATGGATATCTTTGATGATTGAGGCCTTTAGAGCATCGACATCAGTAGGGAACAGTGTGACAGAATGTTTTTTTATTGTTTTATTTTAACAGCACACAGTATATATATAAATTAAAAACTGTTTCCTTTCTCTCCTTCAACCTTTATAATCTCTAGATTATGGTGTCTCCCGATGCCAGGAGCACAGCATGGGTGTCATTTGATGGACGTCATCAGCAAGAGCTAAAAGTTGGTGATAGGTGTGTTTTTTGTTCTTTTTAGCATCAACACTTTTATAATATCAAGTACCTGTGATGTAGAACACATCCAGTTTAATATATTAAATAGTTTAACCCAACATATCATATGTAACAGGTGGGATATCTGTGATGTAATACATCATGTACCTTTAATATTTAACACGGGTTAAAATTGGTGATGGTAACTTTTTTATGTGTGTCTAAGTTTGTTTTTGTCTGTCATATTTAGCACAAACACACACACACACACACACAAAGTATTAAATACACATAATAACAGTGTAACAATTGTTTCAGATATAGTGTGTCAAAGATGGCTAATCTATCAACACTTAATTTATGACCAATTACGTACAAATGACCAGACTTCCCAGTTTTGTCAGGACAGTCATATTTTTTGCTAATTTGTTACAGTGTCCTGAGAAGAATTCTCAGGGTTAACAAAACGTACCAGATAAAGACATCAAACTGTCAGTCACATCGAATCAGAAATGTAGTAATTGTTGTAATATGTTTTCTCCTGCCACCAAACTGTCTTAAATGTTCAGTTTGTGTGTAGCGAGAAATCCAGACTACATTATTATTGTACTTTTTTATGTTACCTGGTGTCAGTCCAAATATTTCGAGCTAATCTTATAAATTTAATAGGAAATTCTGTTATCATAACCAAAAAAACCATTTTGTACATGTAGAAAAGGACAACAAATTAATTCTCCAATTATTCAGATGTTTTTAACGTGTTGCAGTTATGACAGTTATATATGTATGGATGTTTTTGATAACA